AAGAAATTCTTAAAATGGTGGGAAATATGCTCATGATTCTCCAGCCCCTTGTTTAGCTCAACCATTGGTCTCCACTCAGGAAAGGGAGTTGAGCAGTGCATGGCAGCTCACCCTTTTGCTGTTTAATTCTGTAGAAGGGACGATGCTGTGTGCTTCTGAATATTCAGATGGGTTTCAGGGATGTTTCTTATATCGTGATCCCTAGTTTAGCATGGCTAGTGTCTAGGATGTGTGTTCAGAATTGCCATCTTCATTAACTTATTTGTAGCTGTTGGTTGTTGGGTGGCTAAATGCTATGCTTTTCATATTACTTACTTCACTCTCTTTTTCAGGCAAATTAGAAACCTGTAGGTCAGATTCTGAAAAATTAAAAAAATGAATACTTGGGGGGTTAACTCCCTCAATAATAGAGCAACAGCTGTAGCTTTAAGAAACGTTATTGTCTGTGGCCATTGTTAGGCAACTACAATGGTATTGCCAGTTTTCCAGCTTTGGTTTCTGTCACTAGGAGTCACAGGGAGAAACGGCCATATCCGAGGGCTATTTTTGCCTTTGAGGAAGGACTCATTGGGCCAGGCCCAGCGGCAACCACTAGGCAGCTTGCTTCAATCTGACTTGTATGACCCATCCAGGCCTAGCTGCTTGCTACTTTTCAACAGCAGTCACCCCTAAAAGCTAGTGTGGTGTAGCATGTAATGAAATGGCTGCCAGGCAGAGGCAGCAGTACCTTAAGATGGCTGCCAGTCTGGTAGTCCTCTTGAGGGGGGAGGTGCTCCATAGGGAACAACGGGGCTGCCATACCTCCCTACCTACATTTCCCAGAAGCTTTAGGGAAAAAGTGTGGGAAAGTATGGACCCACCCCAGAGCCAGGCAGATAAAGGCTTTGGCCCTCCAGGGAGGCTTTTAGTCTCAGCCTAGTCTTGGCCTTTGGCTCAGGTTGGATAGCAGCTTCAAGGGAGTGTACAGGTGGGACTCCTGCTACTCCACACTCCGTGGGCAATCCAGGCCACTATAGATTATGGTGGAGAGCCAAGGAGAGTAGCAGTACTGGTGACCAGTCCTGAGGAGGGCTGGAGTTTCTCTCCACAACAACAAGGAGGGGGAAAGCAAATCCCATCCTGAGGCCACCACCTCCAGAGGTAGAGAGGGTGTGTGTAGGGACAGAGGAATTGCAGTTTACTTCAGTTTATTTTCTGTGCCCTGTTGTGTTGAAGTGCCTCTGTTAATTTTTGTGCCTAACTTGTATATAGTTCAAATAAACCTTTTTGAGTTATAAGACCTGGAAGTGCTTTGACCACTTAGTCCTCCCTGCTCAGCATGTTACCAGAGGCAAAAGGAAGCAAGGGAACCCAAACGGGCCCAAATCAGAGGGGTTGCCAACTCTCCAGGGGGTGCCCAAAGATTGCAGTACCCACTTCCCAAGATGGGGGAATCAGCCAGAGGGGTCTCACTGTTCCTCTAGGAATGCAGTGTGAATGTAATGAGTGATGGCAGCGAATGAGGAAGGAAAATAGCCCCTCCAGGCCGGGTGGGCAGGCGAAAACAAGGGCTTATGAGCCACAGAACAGCTGCTCAGTCTCCCAGGGCTGAGGGTGGGTCCCCGTTTTGTTACATAGCAGTTAGAGTTTCAGACGAGTACCTGGGAAATGTGGGTTTGAATTCCCATTCTGCTGTGGAAGTTCACTGGGAGACCTTGGGCCAGTGACACATTCTCAGCCTAATTTACCTCACAGAGTTATTGTGAGAATAAACTGGAGCAGAGAGGAGTGTTGTAAACTGCTTTGGGTCCCCATTGTGGAGAAATGATGTAAATAAATAATAAATATAGCAAAGTAGGCAGCGGACCCAATTGAGGAGGGCAGGTGAGTGACTGAGCTATCTTAACAGATGCTGGGAGGGGGCGGACTGGAGACAGAGTGGTGGATGGGAGACCACTAGTGATCCCCCTCCTCTGCAGTTTGCTCAAAGCTTCCCTGCTTGTTAAGTACATAACTATAACCTTTTAAATTACCAGTGTACTTCTAAGTGCATGGCTGTCTCCCCACCACTGCTGAACCTTAACCAGCCTTTTGGGATCTGAGGAAAGGCTTCCCTCTCTGACTGCTTACTCTCTCCTCAGTATGAGGCACAGCAGGTCTGGCAAGAGAGTGAAATTGTCAAGAGCTAGATGGTCGTGGAGAAAGGGGCGTAAAACCACCACCACCACCCTACTGTGGCCAGCTCACTCTTTTCCAGGATGTTTGCCATAGTGGTGATTTTACTCTCTCTTACCTGTGTCTAGCTTGTTGTCTGAGTTTTGGGAATAACAGTGCAGAGAAAGCTGGAGGGTTGTTGGAGAAGGTGGGCCTTTCCGTCCTTGGCATGAGGCCCACAGCTTGGAGAGGCTTGCAGTTTACTCCTCTTCCAGTCCCTCTGGCAGCAGCTGTTTCAAGGGAAGAACCACTCGTCAACTGCAAGCCCTACTGGACAATGGCCATGACCACTTTCTTGGAATATGGGGCAGCTGCCACACTGGAGAGTGGAAGAGCCATAGTTGTGATGTCAAAGAGCTACATGTGGCTTCTGAACTGCTGAGCATCACTGCTCTAGTTGTAATATTGTTTCACAGGGGATGAAGTGGAATTGTATTCCATACACTTTGTCATGACCCCAGGGGGTCGCCACCTTCCACCGCCACCATTCTGGACTTCGGGTCCCTTGAGAAGGCCCAGAGTACCCTCCCAAGCCAATCAAAAAATGCCCCTTTTTAAGCCGAGAACATAGGCATGACGACCAGGCAGAGAACACTTAAACAAATGCTTTATTAACACAGTACTGGGGCAAGAAAAATAAGACAAGGTGCTTTAAAATATATAACAGTGTTTAAAGGCAAAATAATCAACTCTAACGCGACTACCTAGTTCACTTAACTGGTTACTACTTCAAGGCCCACAGCCCTCTTATACCAGGCCTCCTTTCAGGATCTTTCTCCTCAGATCAGACTGTCCCCTCTGTGAGACAAGACCACAGAAGAGCAAAAGAACACCGTTTCCTCACAGCACACGGAGTTTATATCACAGTCTCCTGCAGTTTAGCTCTGTGAGAGGAAATAACACCATTTCCCCACAGCCCACAAAGTATGTAATAGTCTTTTCACACAATCCCTGGACACTGGTTACAACTGTTGCTAAGCCTTATGGGGATTGTAGGTTGTCTACTTTCCACTCCCACACTGGTCTCTCCTGGGACCAGGCCGCACTAGGCCTTGCTCCCAGTCCTGCACAGATCATGACACACTTAAAAAAAACAACCAACAAACTAAAACTAGAAAACTGTTCACTCAAATGAAGGCAAGTTTTTAAAAATGTATTGTCAGATTTAAGAGGCACAAAATTGTGCAGGTGTGTGTTTAATTGGCTTCAAACTTTATGTAGAATTTTGTTTAAATTCTGTGGACGTAATGTTTTTGAAAGAATCTAAACAGTGAGTGAGTTTCACTCCTCAGCAAGCAAATAGAGAGTCATTTTGGCAGAGTCATTTTAAATCTGGAATGTGCAGGTTGTACATGCTGAGAAAGGGGGAGGAGCTGAGAAATTGAAAAGGTTGTTGCACCCACACAGAATAGAAACACCTCTAAGCAATGTATAAATAGCAGGTCTGAACCACAGAGTCCTTCCACACCCATTCCCAGTACTCTAGATGAGTTTCCCTCTAACTTTGAAACCGGAAACAGATGTGTAGGTCTGTAGACTTCAAAGATGTTGTCTTGCTCAGCTGCTGGCTGGAAACACAGTGTCTTCAGCAATGACTGCTGGGATCAGAATATCAATGCTGTTGAGCGTAGAGCTCCTCTGATAACATGCAGCAACACTGAACTTGCAGATGGATTATGTTTAGGTCACATGTAAGCAACATTTGTGGTTTTGTATAAAAACTACAACCAAGACTGTAATTAGCAAGGTATAATTAAAGCCAGGCACAGATGTTCATGACCATAGTGCATATGCAGTGCAGGATTCTTGTAAAAATCTAAAAAATGAGGTTTCATCTCCAAGGATGGTTTTCTGTCTTGTTGGGGGAGATGGGGAATATGTAGAATGTGATAGTGTTGTGGACAGGTATTGTGAGTCAGCCTGAGCTCAGCATGAAGTCCTCAGGGGAGGAGGACTCCTCAGGAGAAGGGGAGCCACACAAGGCTGGCTCTGAGTCAGCAGAAGCCAGAAAACAGGCTGATGAGCTGCAGGCTGATCAAGTGTCACCACCCAGCTCTGATGCAGCAGGTGAGACTCAAGTGATTAAGACCAGTCCACCAGGTTCACCTCCACCCTTCGAGTGCCGGAGACAGGAGCTTAGAAGGGAGCTGCAAGCAAAGAGGCAGAGTGCATGTCTCCTGGCCCGTCACCAGCTGCTTGCTGATGACAGCCTAGAGTAGTTGCAGAGGTACTCCCAAGCAGCTGGTTGCTAACAAGAGCTTGTTAAGAAGTGCGTATAAAACCCAGGTCTGGGAGCCCGCATGTTGCGGAAGTAACAGGTTGTGTGTCCACAACTCCTGATCTTGCTTTCTTTGTGTGACCTTGGACTGGCTTGGGACTTTGATTTTGGCTTTGTGACTCTCTGGGTTGTGGGATGACCCTTGAACCTCCTGACTATGCTCTCTGCTTCACCCATTCTGGTAATGATCCTCTGGCTTGTGGACTTTTGGCTTGTGGACTTCTGGGACTGAACTCTGGACTTTGTGTGAGCGCCTGAATGTGTCTGGCTTGCCTGCCTGCACCTGGTACACAACAGGAGCAGAGCTACCTTGTGGTTCTACTTGTTACAATGGGCTCAACCAACGGTTTCTAAGAGCCTACGTTTGACACCCTGGATTTTTCCCTTCCAACTTTAATAGCTAACTGTATAGAAAGAGTAAATCTCTGGCTACACTAATGCACAGGTTTCATGTAAATTATCAGATTCTGTGCTGCTTTTCAGACTCCTGTATTATTTCTGTAAAATGTTTGATGCTTTGCCCCTACAGAAAACAATGCAGAGATTACATTTAATGTGTCCTTGGGATACCGTGACGACATGGTCAGTGAGTGGCAACCAATGGCATATGCAGAAGAGACTCGGAAGCTCAAATGTGCCTTTAACTATCCAAAAGTAGGTTCCTTACAGTTCTTGCTCAGATAATTTTGCCTGAAGCTTTTTATCTTGACATCAATCAACATATGTTTCTAGGTAGCTTTTGCTTTCTAATACATACCTTAATGTCCTGGTTATTTAAAGGAAAGACACTAACAATTTTATATTTGCACTGAATCTATTATAGGGGGAGGGACTTTAGTTGAGTTGGGAAATATTGGGGAGGGAGGTGCTTCCTTGAGGTCAAGATGTGGAATTATGATTTGATAACTGGCCTTTTCTCTTTAGCAAAAGTTAGAGATGAAATATTTCTAAGAAACAGTGTTTAGGTTTTTCAGTAAGATTAGTAGGTGACCTGCCTGTAATTACACCTGGCTTGGGGAGGGTTGTGAGCATAGGAAATGGGAGTCAGTAAAGAGGCTGGTCTCAAACTTTGTTTCTGTTTTAACTTAAATTGTGTTCTTATATGAAGTGTTCAAGACTGTTGGCTGTTAAACAAATTTGAAATAAACAGCCACTGCCACTAGATGGAAGAACATTGGTGGCAGTTGCAAAGGAACATTTGATCGATCTTAGCACTATGTGTTCTGCAGCCTCTGGTTCCCAGGCTCCTTTCATTGTCGCTATGAACTCTTGTTGTTTTAATGTATTACCTTCATGAATGTTCCCCCCTATGGAGATTGCTGTGTATTCTTCTTAATTGTTGACCTGCTGATTAAAGTAGGAAATGTGATTCAGGTAGAGTGCCAAGTAGAGAACATTAACTAAATGTGTCCTGGATTATTTTTTTTAATTTCCATGTTCCACACTTCCTGTAACTGACCTAATTTGTGCTAAAAGAGACTAGAATCTGTGTCTGACTAGAATCTTGGAGACCCCAAAGATAAACATTGGTGGCTATCTGTTTGCCTTCCTTCTTGTTCCAACAGACTAAAGAAAATGAAGACAGTTTCTATGATTGTGATGTACTTTCATTCATGGAAATTGGAACTGTTGCTCACAAATTCTACCTTGTCAATATTCGGCTCCCTGTGCATGAAAAGAAAGGTATCAATGTAGGAATTGGAGATATAAGAGATATTCGTCTAGTGGTAAGTAGTGGTAATTTAACCTCTGCGTTCATCCTCTCCTCCTTTGTAAACTGGCATTATAGGTACTAACACAGCCAAGTGAATGAAGAAGTTTATTTCATACTGGATATTCATACTGGGAGCTTACTGACTGGTGGAACTAACTAAGCAAGGGTGTAAATTTGTTGAGCTCTAGAGCATGCATACAAATGCACATATTGACAGTATATCCCCAGGTGTGATTGTTGGTTTTTCTTAAAATGTGTGTAACTTTGGAGCATCCATGTGTGGGTTGTTTGTACCTTAGAGCTATCAGATACGGCAACAGGTTGGAGGCTTAATACTTTTTAATTGAATAATATATTGTTACGTACAGAATTAAAGAATGATATTCAGACCTTCTTTCAGGAGAACAAGGACTATGGTGTCCTGCACCACATGGTCTGGGATGCATTTAAGGCCACCATTACAGGCCGACTTATCTCCACCACTTCTCATTTGAAAAAGAAAAACACAAAACTAAGAGATGATCTTCTAATGAAAATCCAAGAGTTGGAAACAAAACACAAAGCAATGGGAAGTAAGACAGTTTATAAACATCTACTAGCTCAACGTAAGATGTTAGAGTCCATAGAAACTACCAAGATTCAATGCAATCTGCTTTACCTAAAACAAAATTTTTGAGAAAATCTCCTAAAGCTCTTAAGCTCCTCTCATGTAAAGTTAGCAAAAAACAAGATGACAGATTTCATTCCCTGCATAAAGGACACTTCGAACAATCTCCATCTAGACTCTCCACCAAGGTGAACCAACTTTTTGCCTCCTACTTTCAGGAGATGTATAGCTCAACAAAACCCGGTGATGCCTCAATAAATACCTACCTTGCCAGACATTTAAACAGCTCTCGCTTGACACCTGAACATCATAATTTTATGGAAAACCCAGTCACTGAACAAGAGATTCTGGCAGTGATAAAGTCTTTTAAAAATGGTAAAGACCAGGGCCAGATGGCCTACCGGGGGAATTCTACAATGTCTACCAAACTGATCTTCTAAGACACTTAACATCAACCTGCAATTATATTCTGAGATATGGCTGTTTGCCACCATCCTGGTCCAATGCAACGATTATTGTGACACCAAAAGCTAATAGGGACCATACATTGTCTAAGTCCTACTGCCAAGGTCTTTACGGCTGTCCTCATGCATTGCCTTATCACACACTATATACATGTGGACCAAAGCAGGTAACGACTCCTGGAAATATTTAGGCATCTCTATTCCATTAGAACTAACGAAACTTGAAAAATATAACTATGCAAGATACACAAGGAAGTAAAAACCTGATTCATCCTCTCTCTATCATGGTACGACAGAGTAGATCTTATTAAGTCAATGTTGTTTCCAAAGTTTCTTTATCTATACTACTTTCAAGAAAAACATTGAAGTTGTGGAAAAAACCCTTTGCATGTTTTTATGGACCGGCAAGAAACCTCGAGTCAGCTTCTCTGCCCTCCATCACCCATATCATTTCAGAGGGATGGGATTACCGGATTTAACTCTTTAGTACCACTCTGCACGTCTCACCAGTTTAATAAATATGCTTGCCCCGGATCTACCCATGGACTGGAGATGGATTGAACGCGTTGATATGGACTTTCGGTCCCTTTGTGATACCATCTGGAACTCCACTGCATATTGATCCTTTCCTCATGCACCAATCCTTTCCTCCATGCTACATTATTGGTATGGCATTCCCGAAGGAAACAGCTACTGAAGGATGTTTCTCCACTAACATCTTTTCCTCATCAAACTTGGTTTGCTCCAGAAAATGATCCTGACTATGTCCATTTCCGGCGAAGCAAAAAGCTGAGTACAGTGATTGACCTGACCAGCAACCATCTTTTACTGAACAAAGCTTCATTAGAAGCCAAAATAGGAACTAAATTGAATTGGCTCCACTACTCGCAAGACATGTTTTCCAAAGTTTTAGGGCCAGGAACTCAGGCATGGTGTCTCACAGAGAGAATGGATTCTACTTGAAGATTATAGGCTGCTGGCTCTCGAAGGACACGATTTAAAACTGGGATGGCACTCCTTTTTATGGTATGGGAAAGCTTCTGGACATAAATATTTTAAAAATCATATGATAAGAATATCATTACTGACAACGTGGGAAAAGATTCATCCGCTGATATATACTAAAATACCAAGATGGGTGTCTCCAGTGGAAGCTTTTTCTCAACCAACTTTGACTTCAAAACAAGCAGTTATTAGATATGCAGAATTGTTAGATGATGAAAATAATTTAATCTCAGAAAGAATAAAGAAAAATGAAATAAACTTAGACTGATGGACTAGAATGCTAATGGAATCTAGATATAGTAAGGATAAACAGACAGGTGGATTTTATTCAGAACAATGTACATTCAAAAAATTATTATGTACTTTAAGAGAGAATTATTAAGAAAATGTATAATACACTGATGCAGTTGAAAATGCAGGACGAAATAGTTAAAGAATATATGGTTAGATGTATGCAAAATGTAGGTTATAACATCGATCTCTCAATGGAGTAAAATATGGAAAGTGAATATTAAGTTGACTAAATCTGTTTCATTCAAAGAAAACATATAAAATGTTTTATACATGGCATCTAACTCCAGATAGATTAGCTGAAAGGTATAAAAACGTGAGTAATATGTGTTGGAAATGTAACAACCATATTGGGTCGTATTACCATATGTGGTGGACATGTAAAAAGGTTAATAAATTCTGGGTTGAAGTGTACACTTTCTTACAGTCAATCTTGAATATCACAATACCTTTTAAGCCGGAGATATTTTTGTTAAACTGTTTACCAGATGAGTTAGATAAGAATCATAGTTACTTTTTTCCCACCATAGAAAACAATGGGGACTTCTGGTTTATGGTGACACGCTGGCAGACGCACCTCCCAGACCTCCCGGGGGTGCGATCTGCGTGCTAGCGGTTGGGGGAGGGCGATTGTTCGCCGCCACCACCCCCCGGAGCCTTTGTGAAAGGCTCCTAGCCATGGGGCTTTTGAAGGGTGGCCTCTTCGCCAGCGCAATGCTGGGGAATTGAGGCGCTCTTCCACCCCAACGGTCCTGTCGCTATGCGTCCGAATGGAACTAGAGCCGCTGACCGGGACAAGTGTCGGAAATCGAGCATTTAAAACGCATTTTGAGCGAGGTCTTATGACCAACAACGAAAAGTGAGTCGAGTGAAAGTGAAATACCGGCAACTTAAAAAGAAAGTCCCCCCCCCCCCGGAGAACGGGGAGAAAAGGGAGCGGGGGGGG